TCGAAAATCAACCCTGGACGAAAAACGGATCCCGGGGAAGGGGTCCAGACCTCTGGGGGTCGACGTTGTGAAAAGATCGCGACTTCGGGGGTCTGGGCACCAGGACGCTGTCGACGAGGCGCAGCCGATGGAAACCATCCTGGGTGGCGGAAGCTCCGAAAGCTCCCCAGGCCTTTTTCGAAGACTTCCCGATATGTTCGAGAGCCTTCGAAACCAGGGGCGCCACCCTCGAGCCCGCCGCCGCCGACCACTGTGGGCAGAGTGACTTCGCCACGTGATGCGAAGTTCCTTCCCCCTCCTCCTTCTCCTCCTCCTCCTCCTCCTCCTCCTTATCGTCGTCGTCCTCCTGCTCCTCCTCCTCCTCCTCCTCCTCCTCCTCCTCCTCCCCCTCCGCCTCCTCCTCCTCCTCCTCCTCCTCCTCCTCCTCCTCCTCCTCCTCCTCCTCCTCCTCCTCCTCCTCCCTCCTTCGAAGAAGCACCCACCGGTTTTCGGGTCATATCTCGGGTCCCTGGTGGCCTTTCGTGGCGATCCCTGCACCCGTGCGACACCTGCGGCGAGGCGCAGCTGCTGGAACGCACCCTGCGGCCAGGAAAGCGCGGAGAACCGACGACGGCATCCCTCGCGCGAGGCGCCAAGCCACGGTCAGGAACTTTTGCTTGGCGTGTCGCGCCGCCTGTTCTGCCCCACCACGCTTCGGCGCGACACGCCACCCGGGCTTCGAGTTCCCGAGCTTTTCTGAGCATCCCGCCCCGCGGAGCGGAGCGACGCGCGATCCGCCTGCATGGCATAGAGCGTCGCCCGGGCCGCCGCCGCCGCGACACGCTAGGCAAAAGTTCCTGACCATCGGCGATGGCGTCCCTCGCAAGAGGCGCCGAGATATGATTATCCTCCTCCTCCCGTCCTCCTCCTCCTCGTCGTCGTCTTCCTCCTCAGCGACGCCACCGCGGCCACCGACGCCGACGACGGCGGCGGCGGCGGCGACGACGACGACGACGACGACGCCGGCGACGACGACGACGACGCCGACGCCGACGTCGACGTCGACGACGACGCCGACGACGACGACGCCGACGACGACGACGACGCCGACGACTACGACGACGACGACGCCGACGTCGACGACGCCGACGACGACGACGACGGCGACGACGACGGCGACGACGAGCGGCTGCGGCGGCGGCGGTGACGACGACGACGACGACGACGACGCCGACGACGACGCCGACGACGACGACGTCGACGACGCCGACGGCGACGACGACGGCGACGACGACGACGACGCCGACGACGCCGACGGCGACGACGACGGCGACGACGACCGCACGACGAGCGACCTGCCGCAGGCCCGCGCGCTGCTCCTGCAGGCCATGGGCCGCGTCATGCACGGCGACGCCGCGGGGCTCTGCCGCGGCCTCTCCGCCGGGCTGCTGCCCGCGCTGCGGCGGGAGGCCGAGGCCCCGGGCGGCGCTGCGGCGGTTGTCGTCGTCGTCGTCGTCGTCGGAGGAGGAGGAGGAGGAGGACGAGGAGGAGGAGGAGGAGGAGGAGGAGGAGGAGGACGAAGAGGAGGAGGAGGAGGACGAAGAGGACGAGGAGGAGGAGGAGGACGAAGAGGAGGAGGAGGACGAAGAGGAGGAGGAGGAGGAGGACCAGTGTAAACCCAAGAGTCGCCAACGATGTTGGAATTAGCCCTCCCTCCAAGCTCCCTCTTCATGGGTTCCATACAGTGTCTCATTCCCATTGAGGGAACTGCCTCGTTTGAAGACAACCCTTTGAAGACCTTGACGCATGCCAAAATATTGTTCTCGGGATTTCCACGCCACGGATCAACCTGACTGCTGCGTCCTGACGACTTGGAATCGCACCAGCACGCCATTATGGAATTTCAACACCGCGAATCAACATAACTGTTGTGCCCGCATAATCCTGAACCCTTCGAAAACACCATGTCTGGTACGTTGATCATGGGAACCCGTTAAACTCTCACACATGTTTAAAACGAATGTGCGCGGCGCTAAGGCGAGAGCCACATTTCGAAAAGGAGCCGCCCTCAATCCGAGGAGCTCTTGCAAGTGTTTCAAACGAATGCGCGCGGCGCTAAGGCGAGAGCCACATTTTGAAAACCATCCGCCCTCAATCCGTGAAGCTCTTGCATATGTTGTAAACGAATGCGCACGGCGCTAAGGCGAAAACCACATTTTGAGAACGACCCGCCCGCAATCCGTGAAATTCTTTCAATTAAAAAAAACGATGTGCGCGGCGCTAAGGCGAGAACCACATTTTGAAAACGACCCGCCCTCAATCCGTGAACCTCCTTGCATATTGTTCAAACGAATTTGCGCGGCGCTAAGGCGAGAGCCACATTTTGAAAACGACCCGCTCTCAACCAGTGAAGATCTTGCAACTGTTTAAAAGGAATGTGCGCGGCGCTAAGGCGAGAGCCAATTGAAAAAAAAAAAACGACCCGCCCTGCATCTGTGAAGCGGTTGTCCTTTTTATTCTT